GGCCGCGGCGGGGAGGGTCGGGGCAGCCGCCCTGGGGGTGCCCGGGCGGGCCCGAGGGTCCGGCCGGCAGAGGCGCGGACGGAACGCGCTGTCACTCATTTATCTCCGGGTGGGGCCGGCATCTGCTCCTCGGGGAGAGGGAAGGACGGAACGCGGCCGAGGCGGGCTGTGGACAGGTTTTCCCCGGAGCCGCCCAGGCCCGGCCGTGGTATTTCCTTATTTTCTGACGGGTCCTTGCTTCCCTGACAGATAAGCTTTTGTCTAGCAGGACAGAAACTGGACATAACTGCATAGGAATTGCTGATTGCAACTTTAAAAACCTCATTGTATTTTCTGAAAAGTTGTTCTGTAACAGTACCTAGGCTTTTACTACGCCCTGAAATTGGCTTAAATATGGAGATAAAGAGTTGATTTGTCTTGTGGCTTGTAAAGCTCCTTGAAAACAGAGGTGTCCATGTCAGTTTCTTTGCAGATTAAAGAAAGAACTGTCACAAATTCTGAAATAATCACCAGTTTTGCACTAACAAAAATTCTACTAGTCCACGTAATAGCTTAAACTTGTGTAAATAGTTTGTCCTGTTTTTTTTTTTTTAAACCGGCTTCAGACTTGAATCAGAATACGTTGGGGATTTTACTTGGCTAATAACTAGCATTGTAATCATAACGATGGTTAATATTTATTTTGTGCTTTCTGTATGCTAAGCACTGTTTTTGAGAGCTTTGCTTTGGGACAGATACTATTATCATCCCCATTTGGCAAGGAGGCAACTGAGGCACAGAGAAGTTAAGTAACATATACAAGGTTACACAGCTAATGTAATTGGGACCCTAGCAGACTGGGTCCACGCTTTAACTATGCTAGTCTACTGCCTTCTTTATATGTGGCTCTTTTTAGTTTACAAAGAGCTTTCATTTCATTTACTTCTCTCAACTGGGGATATAATACATATGTGAGGTGCATTTGTGCACATACATTCACACACTATTAAATCAAGTTGCCTGCTCTTGTGGACCATGCTTAAGTTTTGTACACTAAGCAAAAAATCCATTGGATATTTTAAGATAAATGGAGTTCATAAAGTTCATGTTTGTGTTGTAGTTTATAGTTTTAATTCCTTTGTATCGTTATCTGAAAGTGTAGAGAACAGTTCAGAACTTTCTATTCCTTAAAATATACTATTATATTTTAATGTTTTCACTCTGAAAACCTATTGAGTGGTTACTCTGTACTTGGAGTGATTAGACTTAACTAATAGCTCCATGACAAAAAATGAGTTTCAAAAGCAGAACCATTTAATAAGGAATCAGCAGTTTACACTTATTTACAGCAGAATATTTATTTATTTATTTATTTTTAAAAGATTTTATTTATTTATTTTTCCCCCGAAAGCCCCAGTAGATAGTTGTATGTCATAGTTGCACATCCTTCTAGTTGCTGTATGTGGGACGCGGCCTCAGCATGGCCAGAGAAGCGGTGTGTCGGGTGCGCCCGGAATCCGAACCCGGGCCGCCAGCAGCGGAGCTCGCGCACTTAACTGCTAAGGCACGGGGCTGGCCCAACAGCAGAATATTTAAATTTCATTCATCAGTTATCAAGCTTTTGATTGCCTCAATGCCCAGTGCAGTGTTAGGCCCAGTTGGCTATACAAAAGAAATGTGCCAGGGCAACGGAGCTTAGGGAGGTTAGTCTAGTTTGGGATATGAGATTAACAAAAAAATATGATACTCTTCATTAGTACAGGGGGTGTATGCTAAACTGAGCAGATCCATAAAGCTTCTGCAGAGAACCGACAATTGAAGGACGGATGTAGCCCTTTGAATAAGCATGAATGAGGAATTTTAGTGAGGAAACTGTGTTCAAAGACTTGGAATTGAGAATGAAAATGATTTTTCCAGGGAACGGTAAGTCTAGTCTATTTGGAAAGTTCCTATTGAGAAAAGGAAGATGATATGGGCAAGACTGTGAGGAGTGTTGTATGAGACATATGTCAAAGTTTAGTTTTGATATATTTGTATATGAGCAGAGACAGATATGATTTGGGGAGTTTTAAAACTTTTAAATCAGTGGTTCTCAACTGGGAGTAATTTTGCCCCCTCGGGGACGTTTGGCAATGTCACAACTAGGGATGGGGGGGAGGTGTTCCTGGCATCTAGTGGATGGATGTCCTACAATAGGACAGCCCCTCCTAAGAAATAATTACCCAGATGTCCGGGGTGCTGGGGTTGAGAAACCCTGTTTTAAGATGATTGTTTATGTGGTCAGCCTCTGCTTCTGTGTGCTGTAGATAAGTATGAATGATGAATTTTAGGATCATGAGTTCAAGCACTAGTAAAGTTGGGGAGAAGCTGGCTCAGACCTCAAGAAGGAGGCTGTTGTTGGACTCCTGGGCGAAGGGAGAGGCTGTAAGGAGATAGGATGAGAGCAGTGAGAATGGACATGTAGTGATAAAATGAGACAATTATTTAAATAGTGTTTTTTCCAAGTTTGAAAATAATGCATGTTCATTGTAGGAAATTTAGGAAATGTAGAGAAAGTGTGGGAAAAAAAAAAGTTATAAACTCCCCTAAGCAGAAAGAACAACTGTTAACATTTTCATATGGTAGTTCCTTTCAAATCTTTTTTATGCTGATAACTGTTTTCCTTTTTCTAAAACTAGGATTATACATTTTTTTCTCTATGGGTGGTTTTTTTTGACTCAGCATATCATGAGTATTTCTCATTCTTTGAAAAATGTTCTTTTTAATGGTCATAGTGTTCTTTGTTTTTTGTGTATGTTCTTTTTGCTTTGCATTCAAAAGAGAAATTTTGAAGGAAGAAATATTAGAATATGATGACTGATTAACTATAGAAAACAATGAGGGGGGCGGAAGTCAGTGTTATCTCCAAGGTTTTGAATCTGGGAAGCTAAAAGAATGGTGGAGCTACTGAAATAAATTGGAATTCTCGAAATAATTTTCATCTTAGTATGTAAACTGCCGTTCACAGAGACACGTAATGAGATTTTAATGAGGACCCTTGATGCCTATCAGCTTCCAGTCTTCCGCAAACTCCTATAATTAATCTTCCAATTTCTTTTTTTTTTTTACTTTTTGTTTTTTGTACTAAGCTTATTTTTCAGTTCTTTCTTAGCAAGTCTTCTCTTTTCCCCTTCTTGGAAAGGTTTTTTAAAATATGTTTTCTATTAGATTACTAAATAAGGCTCAAGTTTGTTGGTCATGAATCTTTACTTTGAGAGATCAAAGGACTAGTTTGGGTTTTTTAAATGTATATATTGCCACAGTTTACAAGCAAGAGGCGAATATAACTGTTTTTGGGAGGAGGAGGAATCATCTTTAAAAATGCTTGCCCAGGGCCGGCCCAGTGGCGCAGCAGTTAGGTTCTCACACTCCGCTTCTGTGGCCCAGGGTTGGCCGGTTTGGATCCTGAGCGTGCAGCTGCTCACCGTTCATCAAGCCATGCTGAGGCAGTGTCCCACATAGAAAAGCTGCAAGCCTGCAACTGTGATACACCACTATGTACTGGGGCTTTGGGGAGAAAAAAGAAAAAAGAGGAAGATTGGCAACAGATGTTAGCTCAGGGCCAATCTTCCTAAAAAAAAATGCTTGCCCTGTGATGGGACGCCTCATAACATAACGGCAGTCAATATTACGTTGCTATTTCATCAGTCATTGTACTTATTGGTCTATATCAGCTAATTTAGTGCTTTCTGGAAAATGTATTTAGGAAAGTAAATTTTTAAAAAAACTGTTAAACCTAATACAAATGGTACTTTTACTAAAAGCATATACTTTTCAAATTGAATAGGATATAATTTGATTTACTGGATTCAGATGCTGTGTTTACTACTTTGTGCTCATCTCCAAGTATCTTCTCACTAACAGCTAATATCCATTAACTTTGGAGAAGTTTTGTATTTCCTATCTTTGTTCTTGGGACATGATGAGAGTCAAATGGGAGTCAAAGGGGTCTTCTGAAAGGTCCTCCCAGTTTTCCTGCCTATAACCACCTCTCTCTCCTTCAGTTTTACTCATTGTCTGCAATTCTTTTTGCCTTGAACAAGTCACCCAGGAACCTGCCACCTGTGTATGAGTCATGAATACCCATTCTAGCATCTCTTCTTCTTGCTAGTATAGTCTTAAAACAGGAAACTTGATCTTATATGGGAAAGGCACTAACACTGGAAGTCACAGTTCTAAGCCTGGCTCTCCTACTAGTAACTGACTGTTCTTGGGCAAATCCCTTAATCTCATCTGTAAATTGAAATTATCTCCAAGGTCATTTCCAACTCTAAGAGTCTGTGAATATGTGAAGTATTTACTTTTCAAGGTTAATTACCTCTGGAGAGACTATTAGTCTTTCATATCTTAGTGTGAATTAATCATAGATGATTTCTTCTAAAGGCATTTGTGAAAGCTGCTCCCACATAATAGGACTGGGGGAGGAATTTTAGAATGGAATTTAAGTGCCACTAGAATATAAGCTCCAGGAGGGCAGGGATCTTTGTTTTCTTCGCTGATGTTTCCCCAGTGCCCAGAATGGTAATTAGCCTGTCACATGTACTTAGTATTTGTTGAATGAGTGAAAGGATGAAGGAATGGGTTGTTGTGGAGGAAAGACAAGCTTTTTGGAGTACTTGCACGGATGCTCTGAGTACCTTGAAAGAACTGAGAATACAAACCAACCTGATGACAACCCAGTCATTCCTACAATATAAAAAATACTTACTAGTGGTAGTAAAATGTTCATTGTTCACTTGGCTGCCTTTCAGAACTACTAAGTACTTATTGCCCTGACTGCCCCTTATACTCACAAAGTACAGT